CGCAATTATCATACTCGTTTGGCGTGGGAGCGCTTGCGACGTGAACTACAAGCTCCTACACGCCTTTCTTCTTTGTAAGGCCATAACCACTCATAGTTCCGATGAAGTACCTACAGAATTGTGCTACATTTTCATGCAAAGCTATTGCAGAATTATTTTTTATGTTTCTATTACTTTTTACGTAGATTATACATTTTTAGAAGCTCGATACTATTGCTTTCCGAACTCAGAGATCGGGGGTTTTTTCCTGCACCCTCTTTTGATGTTGAATATGAGTGTAATTACCATTACCACCACATCACGAGCTTGTTTGAAGACTAGTTTGGACAATGTGGAATTCAGACTCGAAATCAGTTTTCTGAGAACACCTCAACCTCCTATTCTTCCTGGTAGGCTCGGCCTATGTGCTATCCCCGTATCAGCAGTTCCGCTGCATGTTTCACGATTACCCGCGATATCTTTTATTGCGGTGAACAGCTTTCGTGTTACATTTATTGGTATGAGCTTCAGATGAAAATGGCTCTCTTCATACCAGCTGATGGCATTTTAAGAACTCATCTTACGTGGGAGCAGCTTCAAAAGAGCGTCCATATAGCGTTTGGAAAAGAAGCGAAATTTGGACCGAACAAAGACGTCAAAGAAATTGGGATCGGCAACGTAAGTCACAAATGATACGAAAATTCCGCATACATTCTAGCAATGTTATCTCTATTGCCCATACATGCACTCACAAGAATGCTGAGTTATGGGCAGAAGTCTCGATTTAGACGGGACTCGAACGGGCACTCACGATGACGTGCAAGTGCTCTATACGGTACCCCACCAGGGCGCCAATCAACTCTTTATGCTCCTCTCTAAACCGAGAAGCAGCATCTATTTTACCATGGACAATAATAATAGTAATTTACATTAATGATGTATGCGTTTGTTCGCTGCTGATGAAGGGGACGTGTTAAGGGGATAGGTCCGCGCAGCGCAAGCCCTTTTCTTTCGTTCATTCTTTGAACAAGCGACAAAACCTACCATCAGTCGTTTTCGCCACCACTTCTCGTCGCTCACCCGCTTCAACAACAGGTGGAGGACGGGCTAGCAGCGCGCCAAACCTAGCTTCACTGAAAGGCCCATCATTAGCAAGGAACAAGACTGGAATAGCCTCTTTGGTACTTCACCACTTCCTGGTCGTGTCAGACATTCTAATCCCATCCGCGATCACGAGGACTGAACGACGATCCACGCGTCTTTCAAGCTTTCCTCCACTTTCCCTACTAGCGTGTTCTTGTGTGTATGCTGCTTAGAGGCATCGTCACGATGGTTTCCTACGTAGCCTAAAATGCTAGTAGGGCGCTGTATAGTGGGGAAAATGGCGAAAGAACGGAGTGAAACGGTCAAAATCCTGGCGAAGAAAAAGCCTCCGTTCTCAGTGACTTGAAAATCGATTTCGGACGAGTTTCCCGTACGCATCTTGCCAATCACCGCTACCGAAAGATACGGCTGCATAATGTGTACCCATATATGCATGC